ACTCTTGATAGATTCAAGGGGGAAAAAAAAGAAAATACTTTGTACTGTTCTTGTAACTTTCTATTGCTTAAAATTATTTCAAAATAAAAATATCTTTAGCATTAAAAAAAAGTTTAGAGTTATAGTATTGTGCTCACCTGACTTAAATGTCAGATAAACTCAATTCTCAATGTTCTTGGTGTTCCATGTTAATCTACATGACATTATCGTTTAGTTCTTTAGCTGTTATTATTATTTAGTATCATTTTTTCACATTAAAAAATTTTTTTTAACATTTTATTTTTTTGAGAGAGAGAGAGCCAAGAAGGGGCAGAGAGAGAGGGAGACACAGAATCTGAAGCAGGCTCCAGGCTCTGATCTGTCAACACAGAGCCTGACATGGGGCTCGAACTCATGAACTGTGAGATCATGACATGAGCCGAAGCCAGGCACTTAACTGACAGAGCCACTAAAGTACCCTGCATTTTTTCACATTTTTGCTGACCCATAATTTATCTTACCCAAACAATAAATGTTAGTTATGTTTCCAAGAAGGGAATGTGGGCTCTGACATGAGCTGACTAGGTCAAAACCCTATTCCCACCACTTCCTAGCTGTAGGATCTCAGGCAAATTATTTAACATCTCTGTGCCTCAGTTTTTTTAACCCTAAAATGTGGGTAATAATAATACCAAACTCACTGGGTTGCTATGAGAATTAAATCTGATGGCCTATGCAAACACTGAGTAGAACATAGCCAATATTCAATAATTATTAGCTGGTATTAACTGGTATTATCCCACTACCCACATAGCTCTATTAAATAAAACTTAACTGTAACTGATGGCAGTACATATTTTTGAGATCGTTCCTTCCTTATATATGCTAAAGTTATTTTTCACATGTGTATGTTCTAGAGAATTTTGAAATGTGCGAGATGAGAATGTAGCTTGGTGACAAAATACAGAATTAAAGACTGAATTCTTTATAAATAAAAGAGTGATAACTTAAAAAAAGAAAAGAAAAAAAAAGTTGAGCCATTCTGACCTGAGAAAAATGAATATACCATTTGTATTAACCAGCTACTGTCACAATGATACTGTGTAACAAATAA